CTGAATTTTTGTTTGGATTTTTTAAAATTTTTCAATTTTACAATTTTTTTCCATTTTAATTTTTAGAAATTAATAATAATCCTCTTGAATTTTGGAAAGTATTTTTTTCCTTTCATATTTTGAAATTTCGTCCGAATTTGAAACACCCACTAACCCACACTAACAAAACTGAACTGATTATTTTTAATTTTGGGATCTTCTCTTTACCGGAGGGTATTCCATACCCCTCAGACCCACCGATACAGGGTTCTCCCACCATAGCATTCGGTTTTTAAGAATTTTCTGATAGTTTCTTTGGGCGAGGACAGTAGTTCTGGGGGGTACGTATGATGCAGTACCCACGAGCAAAAGAAAGATGGATAACTATTTTCCTATTGCCCATAACATTCTCATGGTAGTTTTCGATCGAATCTTCGTATACTGAGGGGTATCTTCCATTTCTACCTACCGGGGCCGTGTAATTAACAACTTTAGGGACGGGACCACGTGGTGTGGGGTCGGCGACGTCTGGGCGCCATCCCCGAGCGTGTTATACTAACGTGGTGATTTTTCAGTTTTTTTCCAATTTTCTTCTATACTTTTGGGCCGATTGTTTTCAAATTGGTGTCGTCGGAAAGATCTTGTCAACGCGCACGAATTCTGAGTGATGGAATGTTTTAGCTTACCTAGTTGTGGTAACGCTTATGTGCTCGATTTTCCGTCGTCTGTCTGTTCCATCGAGATCTCAGCCTCTGAGCCACGTAGAGACTTCAGATTTTCGCGAATTGATAGCTGCTCTATATTTGCTCTTACTTATCATTTACAGTTGTGTTACGCGACAACACCCACGAGCGGGTTTTGAAACATTTTTTTCCTAAGGGCATCAGGAGCGGGTACCGACAAAAGGGAGGCTTCGACCAGATCTTATTGATGATGGAGTCAAAACAGGATAATAGAATACTGACCTGCCACACACAAAAAAGCGCCGAAGTCCCTTCGATCTCACACGAGGAATCTTTTCATACATTTTTCTTAAAAAAAAAGGTACTTATGCGTATTTGATTGTCGATATCACTTAAGATATGCTCACCTTGCCAAAAAGTGGTCGCGTAGTTACGCGTTCTAGCAGTTCAATGAATATTAGAGGGGGGTGTTTTTCTTATGGGGTGTGGTTTGCTCTTCCGAATAACTAGAAATCTAGCGATTTTTTCATTCCCGCGGTGACATTTTTTTTATTTTTGAAAAACAAAAAAATTTGGTTCGGTTTTTTCATGTTTACAGATACTCAAGTATCAAGTTTCGTCGAAATCGGAATTTTGTCGCCATCTTGGGGTAGGAATGTTGGTAATTTTTTTTAAATCGGAAAAAGCATACCCAAAAAAATGTAGTCAAATCCGTTAATTGCTTCGTCTTATGTGTAGAGGGTGGTTCAAATTCGTGGCTCACCATTGGCATCTCAGTAACGGTGTAGGTGAAATGGGGGTAAGGTTGCTTCTTTTTATGACTAAAAAAACGCTTTTGAAATTTTTGAAAAATCTTTGAAAACAATTGAAAAACTGGAAATGTCAAATTTTCTTTTTGTTCTCTATGGGCACTTTATTTTAGTACCATCAGAAAGCTGAGCAAAAATCACTAAGACTTTGTATTTTTTGATATCTTTGAAAATAAATGATAGCTAGCGCATTTTCGAAAATGACATTTTTCCGTTTTTCGCGCATTTTGCAAATTTATTTGTAAAAAGGTAGCTTTTAATCTCACTTTGGCTGGCTGGCTGGCAGGCAGTAAATGCGAGCCCGTAGAAGAGCGCTTGTAAAAACACGAGGAGTGTACATGTACCTATCGGGGTCGTGTAATTTCCGTGTTATTTCTCTTATTTACTTTTATAGTCATTTTCTTTTTATTCGAGGTGTTTTTTAGTGCACTTTCACTTTCAAAAAATAAAAAGTGCAATTTTAGCCCTTGATGTCTGTCTGTCTGCTTGTCTGAGTCACAAAGGTTCCGGAACTACACCACTTACAGACTTGGTATTGGTGTCATTCGATCAAAAAATAAAAATTATTTAATGGTTGTATTCTCGTCAAGGGCTATTAAAACCGTAAAAATAAGTTTGAAAGTGCACGCTTCGCCTCTTGCTCACAAGCGACGAATTTTTCGATATTTTAAGTGATTCATCAGATCATGAAAATCGATCCAGCCGTTCTCGAGTACGTGGTGTAACATAAACGACTGTTTCATACATAGAAATTTTTTTTGACATTTTTACTATACAGACTGATTCAAATTTGAAGGCCTCTCTATACTCTACAGGCTTATTCAAATTCGAGGGCCACCATGGTGATCTCGGAAACTGTAAGAGGCAGGTAGTTTAAATTTGGCAAAGTTGCGTATTTTTGTGCTTAACAAAATGCCCTTCTGAAACTTAAAATCCAACTACTTCCGGAGATATCCCGAAGAAAAAACGAAATTTTGCAAAATCGCGAGCAAAATCGTTTTTATTTTTTACCGAACTTATGTAAAAAGATATTGAAAATAAATAACACATTATTATGGACACTTTTTTCCCTCTACAAGATTCTAGTTTTTTCTTATGGAAGCCATTTTTACTTTTTATGTCATTTGATAGAGAATTAATTTTTTTCTGATTTCAAAAATGTAAATATAATTCTTTTTTTTAATAAGAAATAAAGTTATTTATTTAGAAACAATTAAAATAGAAATAAAATATCAATGTCGGAATTTTTTCACTTTCCAAAATTTTGTAAAACTTTGTTTTGTAAAGCATCTAAATACAACATTTTCCCAAATTTAAACTAACCTACCTATCTCTTACAGTTTCCGAGATCCCCATGGTGGCCCTCGAAATTGAATCAGCCTATAGAGACTAAAACCACTTGGACAGATATTTTTTAAAATTTGAACTACAGATGCAGATGCTTCTAACAACGTTAACATATCGCTAACAGTAAAAATCAAATGTGCGCATGGGCGGATTGTGAATGCTGGCTCTCTTATTTATAGAGATACTTTTATGAATGCTTCTAATAAAGACAAACATATCGAAAATAGTAAAAATTAAATGTGCTCATGCGCAGATTGCGTAATGTCAACTTTTCTATTCATGAAGATTAAATTAAATTAAATTTCCTTTTATTTCCCAACAGAAAAACAAAACATACCAATTACAGGACAATATGACGTTACAAATAATAGAGTGTGCACAAGTGAAATAATATCTTAAATCTTAATATAATACCTTAATGATATTCCGTTGAGATTTATATATACACTTTCCATAAATATAGCCTTTCACGAAGCACTGATCTGTGCATGTAGTTACTCCCCTTAGGGCAAAAATCTTTCTCCTGTTTTTTGATAATTTTGGGGTGTTATACTTTTTTTAGACAATCTAATATATAAAAATCTCGTGTCACGGTGTTTGTGGCCGAGCTCCTCCAAAACGGCCGATTTGTATGAATTTTTTTAATATTTGCAAGGTACGAGAATAAGTCGTGATAGGATGTTTCATTCCATTAAATTAAACCGAAGCCCTTTTGTAATAGGAATTTTTATACCGCAACTAAACCATACAGTGCTATACCTACATCATTGAATTCAGAATAAAAGGGCTTTTAAGGATATCAGGGTCGTATTTAAAAAAATTAAGTTCATGATGGTTCTGCAAAGACGAAACGTCAGATTCAAAAATTAACTTCACCTTGAAGGGCATTAAAAATTCATGTGGAGAAGTATCACACCAAAAAAAAATTGTTCATAAAAATCGAAAATCGTTGTATAATCGGACCAAGGTTAATATCGGACGAAGACTTTCAAAAATATCTTTACATGAGAGATTTTCCAGAATATTATTCCTGGGAATATTTTTCTTAAATTGAGCTTTCTTTCAGGACAATTTAAAAGCAATTTTTAAAAAGTTCTTCAGTTAAGTGAAACGGTTCACTAGACATTTGCATGAACCAGTTTTAAACATTTTGTTTAGTTAATTTTAAAAATGTAATCATAATTATAACAACTATAAAATTTCCACGAGTACAAATATGGTCGATCCCTATTTTTATTCAAACGCACGTGGCCATTGAAAAAGCGTATAATTCAGTTTTTGATCGTCAAGTTAAAGCGTTTTCACTTTTTCCGACCAAAATCAGCGCCACATGACGATTTTGACACGTCTTCCTCTATTGTTTAGAATATTGACATACTTTACATGCGATAAACTTCTCAATGAACAAACATTGAAGGACTAGTCTAATTTCTACCTCTACTCCTTTCTCCATCCCCTGAGGGATGCTATAGAACCGTATCAAGTCGTAGAGAGGAGGTGAAAAACACGTTCTACGATGAAGACAGACGCTGAGGATCTAACAGTCTTCACTATTTACAATTATGCTCCAAATATATACTTATCGACAAATTGCATGCAAACTTTGACCCCGCACACGTGCTGGTTGGGAAATGAAGCCGTTTCAGAATTTCTACATTCTCAGCTTAAAGTTTCTTGGTACTTTCGTGTGGAAATTTGGAGATAATGCGCTTACTGTGCAGGAAAACGATGGCAGGTGTTTAAAAAGTGGAAGTCAATCAACTTCGTGTTATTATCCTTAAGGCGCGCTGTTTATTTACCTCATTAGTTTTTTAAGGTCCACGATAATGAATAGCAATAATTACACCATTAGATGCTTATTCATTGTCACAAAGCGTTACACGTGAAAAGCGAGATTAATTAGATTCTTTAGCGCGCTCTTTATTACTAAAATTGCGAATAAATTTTAAGTAAAGTCTCGTCCAATAATTAACAAGTTCGACCGTTCGGAAAATAACACGGGATCCGCGCAAAGATCTAGGTACGCAAGTCGACTTATTCCAATTAATGTTAAAGGCGTAAGGAAAATCACTCGATAGCCTTCGTATTTCGATTATAATTATTACATATAGCGCACCCCATTATTATGGGATTACCTTCACCTTGTTAAATTTTTTTCTAAAAAAGCAATTATCTGTTACAGGCAAGGTGGAGCCCGCCTCCCATACCTCTTCCTTCAACATGGGTTACCTCATGTCACCATACAGTTATGCAAACGGAGCGGCTGGACCCATCCAGGTAAGTCTCTCTCCCCCTCCCTGTTATGTAGGTTATTTGTTAAATCTATTTGCTTAGTAATTACTGTGAGTGATACTTGCTCATATCGCGTGTTCCGGTGAACCGCGGTTTTACAGTTTCCGCCCTCAATATCGTGACCGATGGTTTTGTTATTGCGTGACCATCCCCGCTTATTACAGGTAGTTCTCACTAATCGACACTAACTTACCTTACATTAGCGCTCTTTATGCGGCGAGTCATCCGCGTCGAGACGGACGGTTTCGCTTCACTCTCAAATCAAAGAGTGTCTTTGAAACTTCTGTAAATTATTTATGAATGAAATCTTTTAATGGTTAATGTTTATGTTAGTTTTATTAATTAATGAACGAGCGCATGGGAAATACGGATCGTGCATAATTTTTCAAGTAAAGTTACGTCAGAACCAAGAATAGCGACTAAAGTCCTTCGGTATCACTGTCTGTCCCAGCACAATCGAAGTGCATCTTATGGAAATTTTTTTAGTACAATCTCGTTTGTTTGTTGTATAGGGTGAGTCAACGATTGCGCAGGAGTAACTTAATGCCTTGAAGATAAGATTTTTCGATAGAGTGCTTTTGTATTAGGATATGGTTGAATATTCTCTACATTAATTGGAATTATACAGGGTGCGCCTACAAAGTAGGGCGCCCAAATGGTACATTTTTTAAATAGAACGCCCTGTATTTGAATGCATTTTTGAATTCTACGTGTAATTTACGTCTTTTTTAATATATGGTTAATATCCGAAAAGCTAGCAGTTTTAAAGATTTGTAAGAAAAATTAGGCATTTGCAAGCGTCAGTATACAGGGTGTCCCTAAAAGGTCTGTACAACGCGCTACCAGGGGTTCTTGGTATCAAAATAGGACGATTTAACCCTACTTACCTCTTTCCAAAAGTGCTTCGTTAAGGCGCTATCTACCGCCAAAGATTCAAAAAACAAATCGTTATTTTTATTTTATCGGAAAATGGTTTTGCCGATTAAAATGAAAGTCGGGATGTGAATGTCTAATGTAAAAAGGGTCTTTGTGATATCATCGTTTTGATTGTAGTTGCTATGTAGGTGGTAAAATACTGACCATCCACATCTGAAGAGGTCTAAAACTTTTTAACTACTATTTTGACGGTTCTGAATTTTTAGACACTGATAGACAGTTTACTTGCAAGCATTTTTTGTCTCTTGATGAATATCGCTATCTGTGATGGTTTACGAAAAAAAATAAATTTAGGCATGATGAATGGCATGCACCATACATGCGATTGTTCCTCAAAAAATCAGAAGATGGCTGTTAAACCTTAGAGTGGCGTAACGTTTGTTTGTTGTTTCTTAAACTTTAACAATTTACGTTTTGCTTGAAGACTTAAAACTTTAAAAAATAACGTACCAATGTTCAAAGGGCACAGTTTAATTTATTACGCCGTATAATGCTTTGTATGCGTGAAAATGGTGGTCACTTTGAACATTTAGTACGTTTAAATTAATACATTACATTGACTTACTCTGTTGTGTTCGTTTATTCTACATTACTTGCTTGCACTACGGTTTCATAGCCTGCTTCTTGCTTGCACTTATGGTTTTTGAGGAACAATCGCATGTATGGTGCATGCCATTCATCATGCCTAAATTTATTTTTTTTTCGTAAACCATCACCGATAGCGATATTCATCAAGAGACAAAAAATGCTTGCAAGTAAACTGTCTATCAGTGTCTAAAAATTCAGAACTGTCAAAATGGTAGTAAAAAAGTTTTAGACCTCTTCAGATGTGGATGGTCAGTATTTTACCACCTACATAGCAACTACAATCAAAACGATGATATCACAAAGACCCTTTTTACATTAGACATTCACATCCCGAATTTCATTTTAATCGGCAAAACCATTTTCCGACAAAATAAAAATAACGATTTGTTTTTTGAATCTTTGGCGGTAGATAGCGCCTTACCGAAGCACTTTTGGATAGAGGTAAGTTGGGTTAAATCGTCCTATTTTGATACCAAGAACACCTGGTAGCGCGTTGTACAGACCTTTTAGGGACACCCTGTATATTGGCAAAGTTATTACTTAAATTTTGATTCCAGATTTTATATCTTTTATCCTGGGTTAAGTAAAAGTCAAATAAATACTATGAAACATTAAAAATATAGCTTACAGGGTTTTTTTGGTAGGTCCAAAGTTGCAAAACTTCATATTAAAAATTTCACTTTTTTTAAATGGAACACCCTGTATATTTTTCTGTCATGATTTAGCTCCTCCAAAAACCTTCAACTTTTGATAGTAATGTCCTATACCTATCTATAGTTTTCGAAATATCTTGGTTTTCCTGGGTTTTGTATTCTAATCTTAAATCAGTTATATGTAATGTACATAATAGTGAGGTGGACATGCAAAAAAAAGCAATTTTTATCTTCCTCGTTCAAAGCTAAAATCATATTTATTAATTCATTTGTCTAATAATTCATTTAAATCTATAAAAACTGGAGAATAAATTTGATAGTAAAACCATAAACAAATATCTTTGTTTTTCAACTTTTTATATTTTAATCTGAAATAAGTTCTAATTTACATAATAACGAGGTGAATATGAAAAAAAATGAAACTAATATCACTGACTGGATGACATTAGGAGTTAAATTAAATTTGCTTTATAGTCAAATGTTTTTACTTATTCTCCAGTTTTTGGACTTAAAATAAATTGTTTGAAAAATAAATTAATCGATATGATTTTCGTTTTGGACGAGATATATAAAAATTGCCTTTTTTCTGCATGTCCACCTCAGTATTATGTAAATTACTACATATAACTTATTTAAGATTAGAATATAAAACCCAGGAAAACCAAGATATTTCGAAAACTATCAGAGATAGATATAGGACATTATTATCAAAAGTGGAAGGTTTTTGGAGGAGCTAAATCATGACAGAAAAATATACAGGGTGTTCCATGAAAAAAAAGTGAGATTTTTTAATATGAAATTTTGCAACTTTGGACCTACCAAAAAAAACACCCTGTAAGCTATATGTTTAATGTTTCATAGTAGATGTATTTTTGATTTTTACTTAACCCAGGATAAGATATAAAACCTGGAATCAAAATTTAAATTTGACAATATACTGACGCTTGCAAATGCCCAATTTTTCTTAAAAATCGAATTATCTTTAAAACTACTAGTTTTTCATGCATTTAAATACAGGGGGTTCTATTTAAAAAAATGTACCATTTGGGCGCCCTACTTTGTGGGCGCAACCCTGTATAATTCCAAATATTTTTAAAATGTGGAGAATATTCAACCATATCATAATACAAAAGCACTCGATCGAAAAATCTTATCTTGAAGGCATTAAGTTACTCCGCGCAATCGTTGACTCACCCTGTACATTTAGATTTACTTTCATGCGACAAACTTCTTCAACGAAGAAGCATGATATCCTCGAACACGTTGTTTTCGAGATATTCGCACTTGGAAGCTTTGATCCCACCAACAGATAGGTTTCTTCCATATGTTCCCTTTTTTCAATCTTCTTGCTTGGATGGTTTCTAACCGATTCCTATAGCTAGTCGAGGGATGGGACGAAAGTTGACAGAAAACAATATCTTTCGTTAAATGACCACGAAAACCAGACGAACAAAATGATAGCAATACCACAATTCTTTACCCGTCACACATTTCTGAATAAATTAGGGCTGGAATTTACCCCAAAACTTTGGAACTTTTCCAATTCGCGTAATGCTCATTGAACGTGGCATTTCTAAAAATCGCCCGGACGCATTGTGTCCATGCCCATCGTAAAGAGACCATAATACGAAGTTCGTGTCGTAGCTGTTGTGATATATGCTACTACGCGTTATTGTAGTTAAGAAAATCTACAACGTTTTCCGAAGTTAATCGCGATCAAGCTCTAAGGCTTAACATTTTTTTCTCATTGGAAAATTGGCATTTGGCACCGCATCGTACCGGAAATGAAGTTTAGGATCTTCCTGTTCTAGGTAACCTTTTCACGAGTACTTCAAATGCGCGCACCTCGTGAAAGGGAATATGGAAAGGAAAAAGTTCAAGGTGGAAGAATCGCCTTTTGTATTATTTTGATTTTTCTTCAGTTTTAGTATTAAAAGATAAGGAACATCTGGAAGTACTAGTTTTTGTAAAAGTTTATCTCCGTGCGAAGATAAGAAGTTTTGTTATTGCGGCCTAAGCGAATTAGTTTCAAGATAAGAAAACACAGGTGCCGTTTATCGTTCAACGACGCATTAATTTGTTAAGGAGGTGGAGGCGGAAGTTGAAAAGAAAGGGAAATTATTTGAAATAGAGGAAGACGTTACTCGAGGATTCACATGGTAGGATTTTCATTTCATCCAATTGAAACCCTTCTGTGAAAGGATTTTTTTTAAATATGCGCGAAAAAAGGCGCAATTAAACCATAACATCTTTGAGTTCAGAATAAAATGGGCTTTAAGAATATGATATCGGAATATCAGGGTCGTATTAAAAAAAATGAAGATGATGATGGTTCCGCAAGGACGGATAAAATTAGGAATTCTACCTTGAAAGGTTGATTTTGCTCTAGAACATGAACGCCAGAAAATAATAGTTTGTAAAATCGAAAAATCCGATTTTTTCAAAATATTTCAAAAACTAAAAAAATTGCAGTGATTTCTAAACATAAGAGATTCGCGAATACAATCAATTTTTTTCTAATTAACATGGTTCCAATTAAAAAACCCTGTAGACATACACAGGACTTTTATAACACCCTATCTATATGCCAAAAATAATATTAGGTAATTAATAGGCTTCCGGTACCACCAAACTGGTATTACATTTTTTTCCAATCTCGATTATTTGTGATGGTTAACTCACCCTGTATACTGAGAAATTACTGCAATTTTGATAAGTATCTCTCAGCCTTGGTTTGCCAGACTTTGCCTTTACATTTGTACCCATTTGTGATGGCACATCGAAAAATGTTAAAACCCCTTTCAATAT